AAGTTCTGAAAAAGTTGCTCTGAAAATTGTGCTAGAGGGTAAATGTCAAGTTCCAACAGTGCCACCTGCTGGTCATAAAGTAGTAAAATAAGCATGAGCTAAGCCTCTGTTATCATCAAGGCCACTGTCACTGTAGATAAAATTCAAGATGTGCAGGTGGCTTTTAGTGGCCAGCTACATTAGGGCTCCCAGGTGCCAATCACAGATGCATTCCTCAGGAAACCTCAGGAAGCTTCCTATTTTGGGTGGCCCACAATGAGCCCACTTTGTGGCAATTGGTCACTGCAAATACGAATGATAGGAGCAAAAAGGTCCATTTGCTTCTTGGTGTAATAAAACCTATTTAAGTCTGGTCAGCAAGCAGGTGAACGTCAGGTTCGCACTAGAGTTTGTATAGACCTGGTTTTCAGCGATCTACATGACAGGATTGGCAGAGCGCTCACTGAGAGGAACCTGAAACAGCAGAACGGCCAGGAGAAGGTAGGAAAATCTTCAGAGTTGGGTGGTGCTTTACAGGTGTGGGAAAATTGACCTGGAAGTAGCTTCAAGAATATGAATTAACGACTTTCTATATACTGGGTGAAGTTCCAAAGGTTCCAAAAGATAAAATATTTAGGATTAAGAAAGAACAAGATAAAAAATAAATAGGACTTATTTTTATACATGCAAGTGGCAATCACAAAAACCAAAGTGCATACAAAGTGAATGTCAGCACAAAAATGATGTCAAAAATCATACTTGGCCCCGACCGGTGTGGCCCAGTGGGGTGGGCGTTGTCCCACAAAGTGACAGGTCACCAGTTGGACTCCCGGTTGGGGCACATGCCTGTGTTGCGGGCCGGGCCCCCGTTGGGGGCACGCGAGAGACAACTGATCGATGATGTTTCTCTTTCACATTGATGTTTCTCTCTCTCTTTCTCCCTCCCTCCTCCTCTCTCCAGCGATAAATAAATAAAATCTTTTTTTTAAAAAAATCAAACATGATCCACCTGGGACATGTGCTCAGCAGCACAGCATATAAGGACCAGGAAATCCTCTCTCTGTTAGAGGCAATGCCGGATCATGTTGATTACACAATAGCCAAAGGTAAAGAAAAGGAGCGGGAATTGTGGCTAAAATATATTATTTTTCTTAGAAAGAAAGAACCCTATTTACATTGAAGTGCTATAATAGGCTTTTGAGAAAAGCTGTTTACTCCCTTCTCTCAGGTCTTTAAAGGCAAAGTCCTGGCATCCCTCCCAGCCCGCAGCACCATGATTTAATCCCTGGTTGTAAACAAAAGACCACTAATTCAGCAGGCAGAGTCCTCACCCAAAAAAATATTAAATTTAATCGGTAGCTTATGAATGTGGCCTTGGTTAAGAACACTGGTTCCACCACTTACTTACTGTGTGACCCTAGGCAAGTTACATAACCCTCTAAACCCTTTTCTGTATCTGTAGGATGCCTTTTGCAGAAGACTGTCGTGAGGATAACAGGAAATAATGCTTGTGCGCTGTTCAGCACAGTGCCTAGCCCACAGCAAGTGCTTGAAAGACAGAAGCTGTTATTACTGAAAAGTAAATGAAAATTAAATTAAGGAGCCTTTAAAACAATGCCTGGCCCAGGGCAAGCACTCGATTTTAATAAGAAAGTATGAATTGCAAATAAAATTTAAAAGCAATATTGTTTCTTTATCTTCAGGCAGGGGGTACCATAGTATTCTAAGAAAAAAAAAATTGCCACTAATTATGTGTCCTTGGGCAAATCAGTAGAAGTTTGCATTTCCATTTCTCCTCTGCAAAATGCACGTGGAAGTAGGTTAGATGAACCCTTACATCTCTTCCAAAGTGAAGGAGACTCGAGAACACCAGAGCTCAGCAGACACTAGGAATTTATGATATACATGCCGTAAAACTCTGGCTGTAAAGTAAGAAATACCAGTTACTAATAGTCAATTAAAAACTCAAAAATCAGTATAGGCCTATGATATAAGGTACTACAAACATGAAAGTCCTTTAATTACTTAAGGGCTAACTAAGTGAGGAATAATTGCTAGATATAGAATTAAAGACAAACATAGATCTTTTTATTTTAATTTTTATATAATTTCCCCTTCATATCCAGAGCAAGGAATTTTTGAACTTCTTATTTTGTCAGAATCACATATACTGAGTCTAAATAATCCCATTTGAGGACCCCGAATTAATGCTGTTTTACTGTAACTCAGGAATCAGCAAACTCTTTCCTCACAGGGCTAGATGGTGACTGTATTTTAGCTGCCTTCCCCTTGACCTTAGACCACAAGAACAGCCAGTGTGTAAAGGACGGCCATGGCTGCATTCCAATAAAACCTAACTGCATTTAGGGACTCTGAAGTTTGAATTTCATACCATCTCCAAGCATCATGAAATCTCATATTTTTTTTTTCATTTTTTTCCAATCATTTAAAAATATAAATAACATTCTTATCTTGTGGACTACACAAAAACACAGGCCGCATGCAGGATGTGACCCCCGGCTGTATTTGCCAGCCCCTGCTGCAATATGTATTTGGGGAAAGAATGTGGCGATGTAGGATCTGGAATTGGCTGGTTGGTTGGTTGGTGTTTGTTTTGTTGTCCTTTTTTTCACCTGCTTTCTCCTGAGGGCTTTCATCACAAACCAGTTTCCCAGTCCCAGCAGCAAGGACACAGGCTTAAGCATAGCTAAGGCAAGCCTGACACCTTGAGGTCACACTGCAAGTGGCAAGCGCCACCCTCAGCCTCGCTGGGATGTTTGACTCCAGGTGGGATGGAGGGAGGGAGTGTGCTGCCTTGCAAGCTCAACCCAGCAGTGAGCCAGCCAGGAGCTGCTGTTGTTGAAAGGGAGGAGGAGGGGCTGGCGGGGGGGGGGGGGGGGCGGTGTATAAAGTCCTTCTCTCTCCACAGGAACTTCCGAAGGGCTCTCTTCAGGGGCATTTCATTGTATTCAAAAAGAAAAAAAAAGCTTCCAGAACTTTCCCAACTGAGACCAGAGGCCTCCAAAGACATTCAAGACTTCCCCTGGCCTGCTTAAGTCTCCCAGGTGAAGTCATTAATATACATTCAGAAGGACAGGAAGGGAAAGTGGTCACAACCCCTCCACCCTTTCAGACGCTTACAAAGGAGAAAGAAGGAAAACCAATAGGAACGTCATTGTTATTGAAGATCATGAGTTTTACGCTGGGAAATGACAAATCACCGGCTTTAGGAAACAAAGACCAATGATCAAAATGTTACAACAGGCCCGAAGCAGAATGGGATTGCGCATCGCCTGCCAGGTCACTCTCCCAGGGATGGGGCGAAGCACATTTTTGGAGAAAGATTGAAGAGGCTATTCTTTCCGTTCTCCCGCCTCTAGAAGTGTTTCAGGGGAACATCTAAGACTCTAGTAATTTGTCTCTTGTAAATTAGCCAGGAAAGACAGTTCTGCAGCATGTTAGGTTGGGAGGTTCATCCTTTCTCTCATCTCATTCAAAGCCATCCTTCCATGCTTCTGAGAAAGCAGAGAGAGGAATCCAGCAGGGCTTTCTCCGGGGTTGTGTAGCCTCCCCGTCGGAGGTAACAAGCCCTGAGACTCTCGCGTGCAGGCTGAACCTCCACTGCTGGTGGAAGGAGTCCGATGGGCTAAGAAGCTTGGGCAACCTCAAATGGCAGTGCCCCCAGCACAGGCGGCACTGGGGAGCAGAAAGGAGTGACCCTAGAGCCTATACTTAGAGACAGGACCTTGGAACCAGTCTCCAGACCTGCGCTGGTAAGACCGGGTGCCATGAAGTGCTGCTTTTTGCGGTTTTGAGAGAGGACTGTAGACCCCTCCACCCCTTCCTTCATCTCAATCCCTCCATCGCAGGGGGAGGTGGCAGTGTGGGACATAATGGATGGACTCTCATACTCATTAGTGCCCACAGCCACCTACTCACAAAGCCCCCCAGGGGACCCGAGCAGCGTTCCAGTCACGTCTTCGGGACCAGACATGTAGTTGCTGGTGACCTGCTGCCCTCCTAAGAAAAGATTTACCTTCCCTCTGGGTGACCCCATTTTGCCGCCAAACTCACGTCTAGTAATTTACCACTGTGCTGGGTTCTACCCTGCCAGCCCCTGGAAGGGGCAGCAACAGAGTCCTGGGTTACATTAACTAGATTGTTTGGGTTTGTTGGGGTTTCCGAGCTCCCCTCCCCATCCCCAGCTTGGTGGGGAGCATGAATATGACCTCTCCCATCTCTTTGGCACCACAGTTACAAACTCTGGACCTTCTCCGGAGGAGACCTCTCTTGTACACAGTCAGACGCCCAGAGTGACTCTGCAGGGATCCGAACACTGTCACTGGGGCCAAGGCAGGAGCCACTTCTGAGGATGTGTCCTGAGCACTTGGCCTTCGAGAAGGGAGTGGCTGGGGCCTCCCCAAGGGCCCTGCCGGAAGGGCCAGTCCAGCACTGTAGGAGTTAATGTGGGACCGCGCGAAAAGGGAAGGGGAAAAAAGTTGGAGTTGACACTTAAGGAAGGAGGGGTAGAGAGGGGAGTGAGTCTCGCTGACTCCTGATTGGTTTTACATTGGATCCAATTTTTTTTTTTTTTCTTCTCCTCTCTCGCTCCCTCTTTTCAGTTTCTCTCTCCGATCCCAGGGGAGGGGAAACGGGAATAGTGAGATATCAAAAATAAACCTCTTATGTCAAAGCCGGGAAGAAGTATAAATACGAAGGGCTCGGCAGCCCACTCGGTGCTTCCCGGGGTGGGGAGGAGGCAGGGGTGGAGGGCGGGCGCGCGCGGCTCGGGGCGCCAGTTGCTCGCGCTCGGATCGGCGGGCGGGCGCGGAGGAGCGGGCTGCGCGGCCAGAGGGGCCGTCAGGGGACCGCGCCGCGGCCAGGTCCCCACGGGCTGAGTCGCCCAGCGACCTGACTGATTTCCTTTTTCCTAGAGGTCGCGGTCCGGCGGCGCTTGCGCCGCCAGCACCTGCCCGCGCCGGGCGGCTTCTTCCCTCTCGCGCGCCGCAGCCGGAGCCCCCATGCCCCGCGCCGCTCCCCAGTGGCCGCCGCTCCTGCTGCTGTTGCTGCAGCCGCTCGCCCTCGGCGCCCCGGCCCGGCCCGGAGCCCAGGGCCAGGCCTCGGAGCTGGTGGTGCCCACGCGGTGGGCGACCGACGCGGACGAGCTGGCGCTCCACCTGTCCGCCTTCGGCCAGGACTTCGTGCTGCGCCTGGCGCCCGACGCCAGCTTCTTGGCGCCCGAGTTCAAGATCGAGCGCCTGGGGAGCCCCGGCGGGGCTGCCGGGGGCGAGCGCGAGCTGCGTGACTGCTTCTTCTCGGGCACGGTGAACGGGGAGCCGGAGTCTCTGGCAGCCGTCAGCCTGTGCGGCGGACTGAGTGGCTCCTTCCTGCTGGACGGCGAGGAGTTCACCATCCAGCCGCAGGGCGCGGGGGACTCCCTGCACCGGCCGCACCGCCTGCAGCGCTGGGCACCGGGGGCGCGCCGCGCCCAGCCCCACCCCTTCCCTCGAGGACCCGAGTCGGGGATGCAGACGGGCGACGGCCAGAGGCAGGACAGAGACGACGAGCACGAGAAGGAAGAGGAGGAGGAGGAGGCACAGGAGGAGGAAGGCGAAGAAGACGAGTCGGAAGACGCTGGCGAGCTGCTGTCACCCCTGGGGGGCACGAGTAGGACCAAGCGGTTTGTGTCTGAGGCCCGCTTCGTGGAAACGCTGCTGGTGGCTGACGCGTCCATGGCAGCCTTCTATGGAGCCGACCTGCAGGTAGGACTCTCAGCTCGGAGGTCCCCAGTCACCTCCCAGGGTCTCCAAATTCTTCCCTTCTCTGTCCCTCTGCGCAAACCCTTCACGCTCCTCACTCTGCCACGAACAACCCCAGACAAGGTTGTTTCCTTTCTGAGAAAGCGCAGGAACTCTTTGCTTAACCTCTGACAGGGGGCGACCTACTGCCCCTCCCCCCACGTCCCTTCCGATTTAGGGTGGAGGTCGCAGCGCTTCCCCCTCTCGGCTGCTCGTCCCCATTCCTCCCGCCCCGGTTCTCCTGCAGCACTCGGCACACTGAACTGAAAATGGGTTCGAAGGCACCCGGGCACCTGCCTCTCCCAAGAGAGATGAAAACCGAACAATTTGGAAGAACATCCACGCTGCCCTCCTTTTCTCAGCCCCCAACTGTCTCCAGACCTGAGGGGCTCCCACGGAAAGTTGCGCCTATTTCATTCCCTTGCGTACAGAACTGAGGTTGCCATAAATAAAAGACATTGTTTGGAGGGAACTGAACCTCGAAAGGGGCCGCCCCACTTCTGTGTGCCCAGCTGGTTCTGATCAGGGGGCGTGGGCTACCTTGCCAACCTGGCGCACAGCCCCGCAGAACTTGGCAGCCGCCAGCCTCAGCCAAAGGGAGGGGAGCAGGATTTCTGCCTGGGGGCTCAATGCGGGAAACTGAAGCCTCGGTGGAAAGGCGGGGAGGAGGGAGTGGGGATAGGATCTCCTTCGGTTACTGCTGCTGGTGGAGCCAGAGCTAAACTTGGTCTACCCCAGCTGATCTAAGCCCGGACCCCTGCAGCCAGATGGTTTCTAACTAGATCCAAAGATGGGGCGGGCTCAGCAGGAGGTGTGCGTGTTGCCCTGGCCCCGACACCTCCCACCCAGGGCAGGGGGCCCACGGCCGTGTAGGGGCTGCACTGTCTCTTTCCCCAGGAACAGGTGGAGAAGAGCTGGCCGGCCTGGCGGTCACGGTGCCCTGAAACAGGGATCGCAGGCACTGCTGCAGCTCAGCTCGTGCTTTTTGGGTGATGCCAATCTTGCCTGGGGACCTATTCTAGGCTCAGCCTGCGCCTGACTGTTGGAGGCACCGAGCATTTCGGCATCACCTGGGCAGAGCAGTCCGGACGAGGCACAACCCGCCCTTCTGTTTCTCACCCATCTTTCTCAAGCAGCAATCACTGGGAAATGCATTCTCTAAGGAAGGATGGGAAGCACAGGGGGTGCAGGTGCGGGGTGTTAGAGGTCCATGCAGCTGCTCCTCTGGCCCCTGCAGGGGCAGGTTAAGCCCTGGGCAGGCTCCTCTGCACGCTGCCTGTCGCGGTGTTCACTTCTCCCAGAGCGAGGCAGGACAGCTGCCAGCTGGCAAGGTGGCCTGCCCCACAGGCGTTGCGTCAACACTGACTTGATACCTGTTTCTCTACCTACCCGGCAAGTCCTTGACAGTGGGGCTTCTTCTGCTCACCTGCCTACTAGGGGACAACACCAGAAAGAGGTTGAGCTGCATTCATTGCAAACCCAGAGCTGAGCTGCTGAGCCCGTCGCCCATGTGTGGACCAGTGTCTAACATCTGCCTGTGAACCAAGAGGTACAGATAGCAAGAACACAGAGAAGCAGCAGAAAAAGCAGTTGCTTGGCAGCCTCTGGAATCAGAATAGCCTTCCTCATGCCTTCCTACCGTCTCGCTCTCTGAGCTCTTTCTTCACCTAGACACCTAAGATACTGAGTATTTGCCTCCAAGACCTACTTAGCCTCTGCAGACGCCAAAGCCATCAAAAAAAGCAGCCTTGGTTTTGTGCTGGGCTCCAGGAGGCCCCAGCCACAGAAGCAGGAGGCTGGGCTGCGTTTTGGCCCAGGTGTGCTGACGTGTGATGCCTGGCTTGATGGCCTCTCATGCTTGTCCCTTCCCCTCCCTCTCCTCTGAGACTGGCACCTCTGCACCCAGCCAGCCCAGGTCAGGAGAGCACATCGGAATGGGCATCAGCCACCCATGGAGCCTGAGCTCCTCTCCCTAGGGCGTCTACGGCGTCTATGGCCAAGTCTCACAGCTCAAAGAAAAGTCCTCCCTCAGCTAGATGAGTCCCACCAATTCCGGCTCAGTCCCTTTATGTCACAGCCCCCTACACTCCCACTGGGACAGCACAGGGGCTGAGGTACAGCCCTTTCCATGACTGCCCACTGGCCCCTCTGCTCTGACCGACTGCTCACCAGCTGTGGAGATGCCGCTGGATGAACTTGAACTTCTCAGCCCAGTCCCCTGGGCTTTCTAAATGTGCCCAAGAGCTCAGCCAAGAGGGAATGTCAAGTCCTAGTTTTCCAAGGCCTCGCCTGCCCAGACCTTTCTTCCCAAAATTGAATCCAGGTCTTTATGAGTAACTCTCCAAGGAGCCTCCTGGAGACTTCGCACGCACGGATGGGGGCGCTGTGGGGTGTCTTAGCAACTGGGGACGTGATGAGGGTGAGGAGAGACGTCACCGCCTCAAGGGCTTGGATTGCCTCATCCATGAAGAGACACACCTGGACTAAGTATTCTGAGAGGCTGCTTCAGGATGAGTCTTCTGGAGAGTTCCGCACTATGTACAGAAGCCACTCAGCGTGTTCAGTTTGCACAGTGGTTCCCACGCATCGCCTCCGCGGAAACACCTGTGAGGGGTTTAGATGAAGAAGGTGCAACGCGCAGAGCGTGGGTGACTCTCTCCAGGTCACACAGCCAGGAAGTAAGCCGCAGGGCTGGGTGGCAGCCCAGGCCTCCTGAAGCTGAGCACAGGGTTCCTTTCTGTGCCAGGCGGCCTTGAGCTTGGGGAGGCCCTGTGTTTCTGCCGACCCCCCGACACTTGCCATACTGTGGGAATGGGTCCTTGAATCCAGCAAGCCCAAAGATGCCCAGCCAGGCCCGAGACGGAGAAGAAACCACCGTGGAGGCTGAGAGAAAGAACCTGGTCTCACCGCTGAGTGACAATGAAGTTTTCCAGAGCTCTGTACACTTGAGTTCACTTAATCCCTTGACAGAGGGGCCCCTGCTTCCCACCTTCTTATCTGGTTTCAGAGCGAAGGAGCCCAGACAAAGGGGGCTTTCTGAAAGGACGGACCACCTCGGAAGAGACCATTAACTCTGTCTGCATCCGGCTGCGGCTAATTGCTCTCTGGATGAAACCGGAGCAGGAGAGGAGGGAGCGGGGGCTGAGCAGCACCCACGCTCCGTCTGGGAAATCTGTCCTGCAAGTGGATCCACTGCAGACTGAGTGTCTGAATTCTCTTCCCAGCGGAGAGGGTCCTAGGAGTGGCGCTCATTGTCCCCAGGGCAGACCAGAGGTTTCCCAACATGTCAAGTGATTTTAGGGAAGGGCTAGGTCATAGCCATTTCATCTCCCCTTTTACCATATCCTCTGGGGAAAATGTCTCCACAAGCCCTAACACTAAAGTGACCATGTATCCCACTTTGCCCAGCATAGTCCCATTTAGTACCTTCTCTGTCAAAAGTGTCCTGCTTTGAAAAAATAACAGAAACAGATACATGCCCCTCTCTTGCTGGTGTCACTCCTCGTCCTCACGGATGAAAAGCAAGTGTCATGTACCTGTGAATTATGTTCCCCCGCTGGCAAAAGAATGAGTCTTTTCCATCTCTTTTGTCTGCTGCAGTCAGAATGATCAACAATACAAAGAAGTATTTCCTAAAGAAGATAGCTTAATATTCAATGGTTTTTGATTGGCCTTTCCGCCAGCCGGGGGTCGGGGGTCCGGGGATGGGGTGCGTGCCTAGACAAGGTCAGGACCAGCTTGCGTGCTTGCGTGCTTGCGTGCTGTGCTGTAGTTTTCCTCAAGTCACCCAAGAAGGGTGGCAGTCAGTGTCGTGATTCAGAGGAGAGGCTTTGAAGGGTCAAAGAAATAACTGTGTCCTTGAGCAAGGTACCAATTTTTTGGTACCTCAATTTTTCACCAGCAAAATAAGAATAATTGTACCAATGTCCTGGCATTGTATTGAGGTTACAATAAAATATGGAAAGTAGCCGACCTAGTGCCTGGCATATGGTAGGTGCTCAACAAAGCATAAGTGATCTTAGAGTTGCCTTTGGTGATGGCGTTTGTCAGAGTAAGAGAGCAGTGTGGCCCTATAGCCACCACTGCTATGTCAGCTCCTCTGTCCCACATGGCAGAGAGGTTTCCCTTCTCAGTTGGCTTGGCTCAGAGGGTTCGGCTTGCCTCCTTGCAGTTCTGTTAAGCGTGTGCCTGGAGAGGTGGCCTCACCCTGGTTGTGTAGAGAATGAGGAAAGATAAAAGGCACCCATGCAGAACCCTCTCTTCTCCTATTGCTTCTTTCCTTTTCCTTTGCTTCTCCCCCACCTCCTTCTCGGCAGAGTCTCGGGCTCTCGAGAGATGCCCAGAAGGAAAGAAGGAGAAGGAGAAGTTGCTAGAAATACATTTGACCGAGGCCCAGCCCCCACTAAACTCCCACCCTCGTGGCTTTGGCTGCACCAGAGCCCAGGGATGGGATCTCCTTGTTTGTAGTTCTAAGGATCAAAGAGGGCTGTGTCCCAGCCAAGCTGGCTGGGTGGTTTTCTCTTTCCCAGGTCCCAGGGGAGCCAATGGAGCTGGAGACTCACTGAAAGATGCCCTGCCTTCCCTAATGAGGGTGAAGGGTAGCAGATCCCCAAGTCATTCAAAAGCCAGGCTGGCCACGGGCACTGTCCAACCTGCCCATCGTGCTTGTGGGGGGCTGTCTGCTGCATTGGGACCCCAATCCACCAGGGGTACAATCTTACCCACATGCCTCAGCAAGCAGCCTTCTCTGGTGTGCGGGGAGCTATAAATAGACAGCAGGTGGTGGAGCGTGCAGTCTGACCTTCTCCTCCAAGGCTCTGGGGCCCTCTCCCTGTGGAACCGTAACTCCGGATTGGCGGGGAATCAGAGGCTCGCTGACTCAAGGCCACCACCCACCAAGGCCCCATGGTCCTTCCCCCCGGAAAAACCTTAAAATGCACTGCAGATGCCAGGCATTCCTGCCCCTGTTTCTCAGAAGGGCTGACGGTGGGGGTGGTGACCCTCCCCACCTCCAAAAGCTCAGTGAGATAGAAAAAAGGAGTAAGTGGGCATTTTTACAGAAACACGGGACCCACGCTGCAGCCCTCCGCAATGGAAATTATCTTCTGAGACCCCAGCCGGAAGGACCTTCAAATGTCCTCAGGTCTAACCCACTGCCTTTAAGGAAAATGGCTCTCAAGCCAGCTTAGCCCAACGGTGTTTCGTTGTCTGGCGAGGATGCTCTGAGCTACCTGAACTGTAAAGGAAGAGGCTCCCTGCAAACCGCAGTGCTGGGAAACATCCCGATGCCTCACCCCGCGCTGTGCAGCAGTTTACACCGGCATGGGAATGCAGAGCTTTCTGAAACCTCAAGTTTCAGTTCTCTATATATTTTTCTAGAACCAGTGGTGAGCAGCTGGTATCTCTTCTCTTCACACCTTCTTTATAAGACATCATCTCCCCAGTTTTGAGATTATGAAATCAGGACCCGAAGAGGAAAACTCTCATGAAGAGAGTTGCAGGTTGCCTCGGAAGAAATCCCAGGAGCTGGTCCCTGACCCAGCAGACCCTGGCCCTTCCTCGGGTAAGAAACCAGGGGACTCTCTGCCCCTGTGAGCAGTGGAGACCGGGCAGGAAGTCGCCGCAGCAAGCTACCATTCCTCAGCCCTCACCCCCAGTTGCATAATGATGTGATTGCCTTGTTCCCTTAGGAATCCAACTCCAAGAGCAAATGCCAAGTTTCAGCTTTGCTGATAAGATGTTTGCATCAGCCTGAACATAGCTGGAGTATTTGACAGCCTCAGGGACCTGCCAACCCCTGTTCGTAGGGCTTACAAAATACCTGGCTTGTTGCCTGTGAGGTGAACAGACAGATCCCATTCACAAATGACGGGATTCGTCTGGAACTCCGCACATGGCCTCCAACGATAGAACGTCTCTCTCTAGCTTTTCAGTCTCCTTTACCTCTTTTCACTCCCACCGTCCAGACCACCTGAGAGAAAAAAGAGGGATACAGAGATAGTGCCCAGAGAACAGGGAGCAGGGCAAGCGAGTGGTTGCTCGGCTGGTCACGCCCGTGGCTGAAGGCACTCGTGCCTCTGCCCCTGTGTCTCTTCTGCAAAGTAACTCAAGAGAACTCACTTTCAGAGGTGCCGGAGGCAGGAGGAGAGTGAGCTCCAGTCTGGCCTCCAGCACAGCCATGGGAGCAGCTGGCGGCCCAGGGACAGGATGGAGGCCAGGCAATGACGTGGACTGTTTCAGCTGGCCTGGGAGGGACTGAAAGCAGGTGTGAGCCTGAGCATCTGGGGCTCATTAGGCCCACCGCATTCTCTCAAGCCCCAGGCAGAAGGGAATAAACGCTTCAGGGCCGTCCAGGCAAAAACCAGAAGGCCGCGCACTGGGAAACTTAACGGGAAGAGTGTGGCCCACAGGGACAGGCACGCCTGGGCTGCGTGCGCGCTGGAAGAGCTGTGTGGCCTTAGAAGTAGGGGTTGCAATGCCTACTTCCCAGGGCCCTTGTGAGCATGTAACGGGGAGGCACAGGTAAAGTGTAGGTCTTGCGCCTGCAGCAGACTGGCTGTTGTTAGCAGTGATGATTAGAGCAAGGCTGCCAGGGCTAACATTCCCGTCCTGAAGAGTAGAGGCTGCCCCAGCAGACACCAGGGAAAGGCTCAGCTGGATTCTAAGGGGAAATTCCACTAACCTGGAGCACTCAGATCGTTGTCCCTGGGCTGAGAATGGAGAGGGAGTGAGGGCCGCTGGCAGGGAGACGGCTGGTGTCAAGGTCAAGGCACAACAACCAGCTTCGTCCAATAGAACTCTCTGTGATGATGGAACGTTCTGCCTGCTCAGTCCAATACAGTAGCCACAAGCCGTAGATGGCTATTGACGCACTTGAAACATGGCCAGTGTGACGGAGGAACTGTAATTCCAATTTCATTGAATTTTAATTAATGTTGATTTACATAGCCACATGCATCTGGTCAAGATGTTAAATGCACGCGCTTTGGAGCCAGGCAGTCTGGGTTCAAATGCCGGCTGTACACTCAGATTTGTGATCTTGGGACAGTTACTGAGACACAACTTTCTTTTATGTGAAGTGAAGGGTCTCGAGGGTGTGAGTATTCAGCAAGATGCCATTTGTCCGACACTCGGCACAGAGCTGGGCCCGTGGAGAGGGCAGCAGAAGGCGATGGCCGTGGGCAGGCAGCGGGTCTGGAGACGGACCCCTTCACTGTTCCTCTTCCCTCCTCCCCGACAGAACCACATCCTGACTCTCATGTCTGTGGCTGCCCGCATCTACAAGCACCCCAGCATCAGAAACTCCATCCACCTGATGGTGGTGAAAGTGCTGATAGTGGAAGATGAGAAATGGGGCCCCGAAGTGTCTGACAATGGGGGGCTGACGCTGCGCAACTTCTGCAACTGGCAGCGGCGTTTCAACCAGCCCAGCGACCGGCACCCAGAGCACTTCGACACGGCCATTCTGCTCACCAGACAGGTCTGTGCACCGGCGCCCGAGACCCAGGGGAGGGAGGGAGAGGCGGGAGCGGGTGGATCAAAGGGAGGAGCGGCAGGCCTGTCCAAACATGGGAAATGTCTCCCTGCTGGCCCCAGCTGGACGTCAGGAGCCTCATGTGTGGAGCCACGAGGAGGAGGTCAGGAGGACTCGTGTGAGGTATTTGCAAGGGAAGAAGAATCTCAGAAGGGCTCTTTTCCAAATGTTTGCGACCAGCTGTCTGCTGAAGTCATAACAAGAGGAAATGGGCTCACGCTGCCCTGCGAGAGATCTGGAGCGGGAATTAAGAGAGGAGGTCCGTCTGGGGTGGTTCTTAAACATAGGGACAGGTAACCAGGCAGCCACCCTCAAGACTTCCCCTGATCAGGGGTCTGTGCCTGGCCTGGCCTGGCCTGCCTGAGACAGGCCGCTTCCTCAAGGCTCGAGAGTGTAAAGATGTGTGCAAGGCCGTGTGTACTCCTCAGCCCTCCCCACGACCCCACGAGGCAAGTGCTGGTGTACAGGCCCCCATTCCACCACTGAGGAGACAGTGTCACAGAGTGTCACAGAGTGTCACAGAGTGGCAGCACCCGTGGCCAAGCCCAGGTAGCTTTGCTGTAGGTCAGGGTTCTTACCCACTGTGCTGTCCCGCTTACCAAAGCAAGCGGTCCCAGTCCCAGCCCACCCTACACACCCCGACGTAGAAAGAGAGCCAGTCTTCCTCAAATGAGCATTCTTTGCAAAGAGGTGGGAATCTGGTCTTGAATACTTTCCTTCCACTGAGGAGGAGCAGAAATAGGAAGATGGTCTGTTGTATGTCTGCTCTCACGCTCGCTCTCTCTCTGCCACGCAGAACTTCTGCGGGAAGGACGGCATGTGTGACACCCTGGGCGTGGCGGACATTGGCACCATCTGTGACCCCAACAAGAGCTGCTCCGTGATCGAGGACGAGGGGCTCCAGGCGGCCTACACTCTGGCCCATGAGCTGGGTAAGAGCTGCTGGGCCCGAGCCTACCGGACACTGTCAGAGGGAACTGCCTCTTCCAAACCCGGGCTCTCCCAGGTTCTGCTGCGTACACAGCCCTCGCATCTGGCCAGGCTCTCCTTGTAACTGACAGAATGACCGTGTGCCAATACATAGTGTGCTTCCTCCATTCCCACCCTGAGCGTAAGGCCAAAATACTAAATACTGTCCTGGGTCATGGTCAGAGATCACCAGGAAAAAATGCCAACCCAGGAAACCAATGCTCACAGAAAGCTGCGATGCTGTATCCGGGCTAAGCGGTGAGAACTCTGGGAAGATTAACTGTGAAGAGGGTGTGAGCCAGTAATTGAGGTGCCAGTGAACTTAAGACAGGCTGAAGCATAAAATAAAGGGACATCCATGTTCCTCAGTACTCTGAGAAAGCTTTCTGGGGGGAAAAAGCCCAGAGTGAAGATCTTCAGGGAATAAGGAGAGGGAGGGCGCGGGGCCACCTGGGGAGCCCTGGAGCAGGGCGGGAGGGCGGGGAGCAGTGGAGGCCCTTAGGGTAGACCGCGGGTCTCTCTCCGTCCCCAGGGCACGTGCTCAGCATGCCCCACGACGACTCCAAGCCCTGTGCACGGCTCTTTGGGCCCATGGGCAAGCACCACATGATGGCACCCCTCTTCGTCCACCTAAACAAGACGCTGCCCTGGTCTCCCTGCAGTGCCATGTACCTCACGGAGCTCCTGGACGGAGGGCACGGTAGGCGTCCCTGGCCAGCTGCTGGCACTGGAGCTCTGCCCCGCGGGCTCCTTGGGTCACAGTAGGCACCTGCGCTGTTCCCGGCTGAGCTCCGCCACAAGGCCTCATAGCTCCTGAGGGTTAGAAGAGACGTAAGGGGTTCGTTCCCTGCCCCTCCTCCTGGGCCATGGCCTTCCCACGCTCCTCCTGGCCCCATTTTCCAGCAGGCTGAGCTTTGGGCTCATCTCGAGCGTTAGTCAGGAAGCAGGTGGAATTAGTCTGAGAGGGTCTGTCTGGAGGAGGTGGGTCTGAACAGAGCGTGAAGGAATGGAAGAATGTTTGCAGCACAGAGGAGAGAAGAGAGTGCTCTGGCTGGAGCGGGTTATCACATGATAGCTTAGAAATGGCAAAGAGAGTGAGGAGGGGGTGAGGGGGTGTGAGTGGTGTGCCTGGTTAGAACAGCTTGACTGGCGGAGTAAAGCAGTGAAAACAATTTCTTCTTGAGTCTTCTCCTTGAAGGAGGCAGGGGCACATGTAATACAGAAATAATGGATTATCCAAACCTCAGTACCTTGGCTTTATTTTGCATGCCATGGTTTGTAAGAGTTTCTTTACACCCCCAATTATATTGTGATGTAGATTAGTAGTACAATTTGCTGGCATTTGCTAGATAAACACTGAATCATAGAAGGTGCTCTGGATAACAAAAGAAATCCAATCATAAAAATAAATTTTGTGACCAATAGTTGAAAATTGGACAAGTTCTATCCAGATGATGAGCGTGGAGTGTTTAGACTGGGGTCCAGGAAAGCATGACGTCTAGAGCGTCAGCCCGTCAGCCGGGGTGGAAGGGCAATGACACGGGAGCCGTGGGGGGCTGGGGGGGGCTGGCTCTGGCCCCTGATTCTTGCTCTTCTGCTTCCTCCATTTCTCAGGTGACTGTCTCCTCGACGCCCCCACCTCGGCCCTGCCCCTCCCAACAGACCTCCCGGGGCAGAGGGCACTCTATGAGCTGGACCAGCAGTGCAAGCAGATCTTTGGGCTGGGTTTCCGCCACTGTCCCAACACCTCTGCGCAGGACATCTGTGCCCAGCTCTGGTGCCACATGGAGGGCGCCGAGCCCCTTTGCCACACGAAGAACGGCAGCCTGCCCTGGGCTGATGGGACGCCCTGTGGGCCCGGGCACTTGTGCTGGGAGGGCAGCTGCCTTCCTCAGGAGGAAGTGGAGAGGCCCAAGGTGAGCAATGGCCACTTGGGGACACGGGTGAGGGGCGGAGGGGAGAGCTGTGTTTTCAAGGAGGAAACCACACTTGAGAGCCATGAACTAAGAGACTCTGGGCCAGGCTGCGACTATGACTTGTAAGCAAAATCACTCATCTTTTTACAAACAAAGCAAAGCATATTTATCCAGACACAAGAGGAGCCCTTCGAAGCTGCACTCAGAGTGAATGGATGATGCCACCAGCGCTCCAGGCATTTGGAAGACTCCCCATCTGGAACGGCTGGGTGCTGACGTGAGGGCCCGCGAAGGCTGGTGATAAGTATGAAACACTCCAGCTCAGAGACCAGAACGTGGGCACTCAATAAACGGAAGCCGTTCGGAATTCTTTTATAAACAGATAAGAGTGATTCAGGAGAGGAACATTCAATCAAAATGAAGAAAAAGTATTCCAGTCCTACCCATGGCTGAGCTGAACTCCGAATTAAGAAGCCGGGGGAACAAGAGTAACTGTGGGAATTCCATACTCAAGGAGGAGGGGCGAGGAGGAAGCAGACCGCCTCCGACAGGCAGAGAACACTTGGCCCAGGACAGAGCGAATGTGCGAGGAAAACCGAGGCAGTGCCATGGGCAGTTTTCAATGATTCGCCTCTTTGCCTGCTCTTAATAAATCCAGCCGTGGGGCTGATCACATTTCTCTTACTGCGAGTCACTGAGGCGTCCCTGTGAAACAGCATCCGTTGGGTTATGCAGCCTGGTCCCAGCCCAGCACTGAATCACCAGAGTGGCCCGGGCCCTCCCTGTCCCAAGGGCTCCCCTCAGTGATGTGTGTCCTTTGCACTGAGCCTCCGGAGCCTGCTTGGGCCAGGTAAGCCCCACGCTAGTTCTGGGCCTGAGCCGGGGGAGGATTCATGGCTTCACCGTCAGCCGCCTCCCCTTCAGACACTGAGCTCCCGTGGCGTGTGCTTCACACGTCACTGAGGGGAGCAAAGAGGCTCCGTGCAACCTCCCGCAGCATCAGAGCCAAGCTCAGGGCCTGGACAGGGAGACAGGGGATGATCGTGGAACGCTATTGATCACCAGTTTTTAAGGGAAAAAGACAGATCATAAAATACTGTATATAAGACAGAACCTTATCTGTGTAAAATAGAGAACACCACATCTTTATGACGAAAATCATGCCCAGGGGTTTCTTTGGGTAGTAACGCTTTTAAGTATTATACTTTCTTTTTTACATTTTGCTGTGTTTTTTGTTTTGTAGCTAGGCAAACAGTATTTTTGCCATTTTTAAAATTATTTTTAGTTTGGACACTCTATGAAGGCAGCAGCGCCACAGCTTTGTTCTCACAGGACAGAGCTGGCAGCAGCTGTCCGTCTCCCCGGGGCCGCCCGCCCCCTGGACTGGGCGCTGGGGGACTGGCAGCTGCACTCCCAGCGTTCATTCCTCCAGCCCAGGACCTCCCACCTCGGTGCCAGAGACACTGGGGGCTGCATGAGTGTTGGTTCTAGCGGGTGTCTTGTTCACCTCTAACGAGGTTTAGCAGCACCTCTTCCTCTACCCACTCGAGGCCAGCAGCCTAGGCCTTCTCCAGTCACGACCCGAATGTCCACCAAGGACAACACGGGCCCCGGTGAAGGACTGCTGCATCACACCCAACCTTATTCCCTTAAAAGCGCTTCATTTGACCGCTAACCCTGAGTACCTCACTGAGGGCCAGGCGCTGTGTCAGACGCTGGGCAGCCCCTCCCCGCCGCCCCGGTGAGCAAGTCCAGCACAGCCTCTGTGTTCACGAAGCCGACGGCCAAGCCGGCCACGCAGCCGTGAAACAAATGACTAGGGTAGCTCACTGAACTCCATGCCCCGCCATCATAGCCCAGCCGCTGACCCAGTGTGGCGTTGTGCGTTACAGGCCGTGGTGGATGGAGGCTGGGCCCCCTGGGGACCCTGGGGAGAGTGTTCCCGGACCTGCGGAGGAGGAGTGCAGTTTTCACACCGTGAGTGCAAGGACCCTGAGCCGCGGAACGGAGGGAGATACTGCTTGGGCCGGAGAACCAAGTACCAGTCGTGCCACACAGAGGAATGTCCCCCTGATGGTAATTGCCACTTATGGCCACACCGGCCAGAGCAACTGTTCTTGCTTCTGCCTGAGATCCCCAGGAGAGGAAGGAGCGGGTGGGACCCAGAGCTTCCCTGTGATCCAGGCATAAACGGGCTCTGCAAGGCACCCAGTTTTAGAGCAACACTTAGCGACCCAGGACAGCTGTCATTGTGCTGGGAGCGCATGGCAAGGTCAAGGAGAGGGATAGCCCTGGCCTTCCAAGCCATAGAGAAAGAGGACATCACCCCCAACCAAACTTATCCGGGGGTGGGCGGGAGGTTGCAGAAGGGCTAGCCTCTGGGACGATGCCCCTCCTGGAAGCATCTGAACGCTCTTCTGTGTGCAGAATGGAAGTGTTTTCCAGAGCAAGTGTCAGAGCCAAACCTCCAGGGTCTCCCCAGTCAGCATTCAGCCCAGGGCGGAGGGAAGGTTTTTGAATCTGATTCTAGTGCCCTTTCCTTCAGAGAAGAGTTGCCCATGTTCCCTTGGGGCCGCGGCAACTGCCTGGCAGAACCTTCCCAGGAAGCAACACCGCCTCCGCCGCTCTTGGCATATTCCTACCCCGAGTACCCGCTAGAAGGCACACCCATCACCTCAGAGGCAGGCACAGGCAGCGGCCGAGCTGGCGAGAGGGAGCCAGTCGAAGTTTTCCTCTACCACCCCATTCAGCCCCCGTCTGTGCAGCTCCAGAAAGTGTTGGCAGGCAGTGAAAGACAAGCAGAGCTTTAGGAAGATCCATCCAAGCGTGAAGACACATTGGCGTTGGGTTGCCGTCTAATGGGGGAGTCAGTAGGTTTTGCAAGATGGGAGGATCAGCAGTGGAAGGAGGCCCTAGAAACTTTGCCTTGGAGTTGGGAGAGTTCACGCAGCCTGCAGGTGAAGCGTTCCTGCAACTGTGAGGGTCTGCCAGGTGGACGCGGACAATAGTTGATGTCATGATTTCAGATGCACTCAGAGGAGCCATCTCAATCAACAGATGTCCTTAGTGCCTCTTGTGTGGCTAGAACTGTAACATATGTTATAAATGACATAAAAGTGCACAGAGCACAGTCTCCATCCTCAAGGGCCGTGCCGTCCAGGCTGAGACCCAATTCCCTTTCAGAAGGCAAGTAAAGCTTAACCTGTGAAGCACGGACCGCAGGCTTATGGGGCATTCAGAGCAAGGAAAAGCCAGGACTGGTCGGAAGGTTGCCGGGGAATGAGGGCTGAGCAGAGCCTGGGGGACCGAGATGGTGACGAGGTGCGGGGGGATGGGATGGGTGCGGAGCCGGCGGCGGGGGGAGGGGTTGAGAGGGGCTGTGATTCCCTCAGGGGCAGTCCAGCAGAAGGTACATTTCAAAGGTAGACCACAAAGGTCCACGAAAGCTAAAATGGCATGTCGCCTTGACCGGTGTGACTCAGTGGGTGGGGTGTCACCCCGTGAAGGGGAAGGTCACCGTTTCAATTCCCAGTCAGGGCACATGCCTGGGTTACCGGTTCGGTCCCTGGTTGGGGCGCATGTGAGAGGAAACCGAGCAATGTTTCTCTCCCTCTCCCGACCCCTCTCTCCCCGTCCCTTTCCCGCTCTCTAAAAATAAATAAATAATATCTTTAAAAAAAATAATAAAATGGTATGTAGACATTCTCAGGGCCAGATGTCCTGGCATGTCACCTGGGAAGCACTTTGGAACCCTGGGGCCCAGGCCCCTCGGAGGCACTGACTGGGAGCGGGGCTCAGCGCCCGTGTTCTGAAGTCTCCACAGGGCACACAGATGTGCCGCTAAGCCGGAGGCCTCAGTAATAGGAGCAGGTTAAATCTCAGGGTGGCGAGAAACTCTTACTTCAGACGGACTGCTCTGGAAGCAGGATGCAGCAAGATGGAAAAGAAGGCAGCTATGTGTAGGAGGCCGGGCACTGGTCCCAAGTGAAGCCACGAGGCCTGAACTTGTGAGGGGGGACTGAAGTGGTAGGAGTGGCACGGGGACGTTTAGAATCACAGGTTGCCCTGAACGTAGTGGCATTTGGGGACAGCTCAGCAGCGGAGGCTGTAGATACCCCAGGGCTCCGTCTCAGGCTGGAATGGGGAGGTGTCACCAAATGAAAATCAATGCAGTCAGCGGGGGAACCATAAGGAGTGGGGCTGTGCTGAGCTGCAGGTAATCACAGCACCTACAAACAGGGTCCCCCCACAAGACACCTCGGATCACAGCAAGGGGCACGATCAGAGCTGGAGCTATAGGCCTGGAAGTCCCTGGCCACGTGTCCAATATCACTGAGGAAGTCAACCTGGAGCATGGTAGCAGAGTCCCCAAAATATAATCCCATGCATCATTCTGTGCTTTCTGCACTTACTGAATTGTCTCCTGCTTTTCACCTAAGATTATTTCTCTGTAGAGCAATTAATATCTCCCTCAGATAGAAAGGATATTTGTCCCAGAGAGCCCTGCTGAGGCTGGGTGCTCCTTTCCTTGCCCCTGTGAATAAGGGTCCCCCTTGGAACTAGAAATGCTGGGCCCAGGTGAGACTGGACCTTTGTCCTGGGGTCGGGTCAAAACCAGGAGAAAGAAAGACACCCTGAATCCAGGCGTTTCTCCAGCCAGGTTCTCGCCACTTCAGCACAGCGTGTTAACTCCATGCCTTTTCTTACTCTTTTCAGGGAAGAGCTTCCGGGAGCAGCAGTGTGAGAAGTATAATGCCTACAATTACACTGATATGGATGGGAACCTCCTGCAGTGGGTCCCCAAGTACGCGGGGGTGTCCCCCCGAGACCGCTGCAAGTTATTCTGTCGAGCCCGGGGGAGGAGTGAGTTCAAAGTGTTTGAGGCCAAGGTGAGAGTCCTCCTAGAACGCAAATCAACAGATGAGATCAAAAGTCACCTGCTGCCGCGGCCACCCCACCCCTCCGCACCCGCCCCAGGCCATGGGCCATCTCTGTGCTGACCACAGCCTGTCTTCCTTGCCCTTCCCCTGCTGCAGGTGATCGACGGCACCCTGTGTGGGCCAGAGACTCTGGCCATCTGTGTCCGTGGCCAGTGTGTCAAGGCTGGCTGTGACCATGTGGTGGACTCGCCTAGGAAGCTGGACAAATGTGGGGTGTGTGGGGGCAAAGGCAACTCCTGCAGGAAGATCTCCGGTTCCCTCAACCCCTCCAGGTGAGCCCCCTAGTAGTTCAGTGCTGCGGTGGAAGAGCAAGATGGGCTTTGGAATCCCATCCTCCTAAGTTTCGATTGCGGCTGCCGCTTAATACCCATGGCGTGCTGAGCTTCCGTTCCTTGAGAAAATGTCAGCAGTCCTCTGTATCTGGGAGTCATTGTAAAGAGTCATGAGATGGGACAAGCAGAGGAGTCGCTACAAGGACTGGCCCATGGAGAGGACCAGGCACAGGGCAGCCAGAGGCCACATGGACAGGGGCGGATCATCTCTGAGTCAATTGGCAATAGAGCTACACTGAGTAACGGGGCCCTTTGCCAGAAAGCAGCTCTTCCAGGCCTGTTTTGGGAAGGACACCTCACCCGACTCCTGGCAAGTCTGGGCTTCCTGCAGGTGGATCTTTAGAGAAGCGGGTACAAGGGCGGGGGGCCCCGGTGACCCCGGTGCCTTCCTAGGTCTGAGCACTCCATACACTTGCTCACAACTCAGTGCCCCACGTTCACCGAACTCCTGGTATTTGAATACGTGTTTTACCTCTGTGGCCTGGTTTGATTCCTAAGATAAGGCTTTGAGGTGGGCGAGGCCAGCACTGTCATCTCCCGTTTACAGGGGAAGACACTAAGGTCCGGTAAGGTCACCCGGCTCCCCTGAGGCCCCACCGATAACGAATAACAGCCAGGAAGAGAACCCAGGTTTCTTAACTCCTGGACAGTCTTCTTCCTGCCGCTGCAGGCACTTCCCGGGAGGAAGGGGAGGGCAGGTGCCATGTAGCCACACGTGCTTCCCTGTCTCTCCCTGTCTCTAGAGAACAGAATCAGCCCACAGAAGACAATTCAGGGGCCTTTCCAAATTTAAAATCAGAGGATATAGGAAAAGGAAGCCTGGGATGTGGGATGTTCAGACGCAGGGTCCCCCGGCCGGCCCTCTCAGGCGCCAGATAGACGGGCCTGTGCACACTTCCACACGAGTGCCCTAGTGCGAGCGCTGGCCGTCAGGCAAAAACAGTGAAGCGCCAGCTGGTTCTGTTCCTCTCGGTCCTTTTCACTTGCTTCTCAACCTGTGTAACTCAAATGCTTTCACCCCAGAAGATGAGAATAAGAATTAACGTTCCTCCAGTCCACATAAAGCCCTACAAGAGAGTTGAAACATGTCCCCAAAACAGCCTCCTCTCCACCCAGAAGCACAGCTCACGGTATCTAGGCACATCCAGAAGACGGCTCCTCTGATGCCCTGGTTCCTGATCCAGGGCCGCCGTAACCAAACACTAAGGTCTGATTGATTCTAAGAGGTGGAGCAAGGTATCAGGTTCTGGAATGAGTATGTGGAACATATTTTCCCACGTGGGTCTGAGCTCTGGGTATGAAAGTGGCCAGGCAAAGTTTCCTACCGTGGCGGAAAACTGAGTGCTTTTGAGGTCTCGTCTGAGCCGAGAGTCGCTGGGTTCCACAGTCCCGGTGCAGATTTCAACCCCCGGGGCTGCTTCCCTCCCTGCGCTGCTGTCAGCAAGACCTATACACCCAAACCCTCAGCCCCAGCATTGGAAACAGAGTTGCCAGGCAAAGCAAAAGCCCCCAAGCAGCCAATGTACAAACCATTCCTGTCCTTCGGCAGCTGCTTTATTTGGGACATGGAGGTGGCTATGTGATTATTTGCTTCTGGTTTTTGTCGGCCACCCCCAGTCACCAGCAGGTTAACTTTCTCGGGCTCCAGGCTGGGAAGCCACCGATCCTAAGGGTGTCGTTCTGTTCCTGCCCTAGTTATGGCTACAATGACATCGTCACCATCCCAGCTGGTGCCACGAACATTGATGTGAAACAACGGAGCCACCCAGGGGTCCAGAACGATGGCAACTACCTGGCGTTGAAGACCGCCGACGGGCAGTACCTGCTCAACGGGAACCTGGCCATCTCCGCCATAGAGCAGGACATCTTGGTGAAGGGGACCATTCTGAAGTACAGTGGCTCCATTGCCACCCTGGAGCGGCTGCAGAGCTTCCGGCCCCTGCCTGAGCCTCTGACCGTGCAGCTCCTGACAGTCCCTGGTAAGGACTTTCCCCCCAAAGTCAAATACACCTTCTTTGTTCCCAATGACGTGAACTTCAGCGTACAGAGCAGCAAAGAGAGAGCAACGACCAACGTCATCCAGCCCCTGCTCAACGCGCAGTGGGTCCTCGGGGACTGGTCCGCGTGCTCGAGCAGCTGCGGAGCGGGCTGGCAGCGACGGACCGTGGAGTGCCGGGACCCCGGCGGGCAGGCCTCTGCTGCCTGCAACAAGGCTCTGAAACCCGAGGACGCCAAGCCCTGTGAAAGCCAGCCGTGCTCTCTGTGACCTGTGGGGGGGCCAGTCTTGTGCTCACGGACTCGAGGTGCTGGGGTGCAGGCAAATGTCCCCGCTGCGGTGGCTCTGTGTGTGGAGGCGGCATGGCCTACCCAGGTCTCGCATGGCACCAGCCCCTTTGACACGGGGAGGGGGAGAGAGGATGGGCCAACAGACCCTAATGTCTACTTTCTAGGGGATGGGACCTTGCTTGGGTTCAAGTAGAGGACATAGGTTAAAAGGTAAAAAGTGTACTTGTTGACTCAAACAGGAGACTCAGTCAGCCTGTTTGCAAAGGACGAGCAAAGTTAAACAAAACAAAACAAAAAAAAAAAACAAAAACAAAAATACAACAAAAAAAAAATGTTTTCTATTTGGTTTCCCCTATAAATAATCTACCTCAGAGGGGAAGAACTTAGTCCAAGAGAGGTGTGGGACAGGGAGTGGATGGCAAACGTCACAGCGAGCTCCTAAGCTGGCTTCAGAAGCGACCGTGACTCTCTTCGGTATTAAAATCCATCGCCCAAAGGTTGCAGGGTTGTGGAGAGCCACGTGTTCTCAGGCTTCCACCTGCAGGGGTGGACCCATTTCAAGTATTTATGCAAATGTGTCTCTGAACTAAAGTGTGATCTTGTGCCAATGTAGTGATCTGGTCTGGTTCAGTGTTTCTTTCAAAAGGGCAGGGGACCCAGAGCCCAAGGACAAAAGCTAAAACTACGTCTTCTGACTTTCAACACACCGGGAAGCAGGCATCTTGCCTGAGTCTTTTCAGGCCTTCTGCCTGGCTGCCCAGACACCTGCTGAACCCAACTCACTCAAGAAACGGTTCCTTTGCATACCCCAGTGGTTCTCAAACTTCAGTGGGCGTTAGGATCTCCTTCTTAAAGCCCAGATTGCTGGGCTCCATCCCCATCATTTCTGATTCAGCAGGTCCAAGGTTGGGGGGGGCCTGAGAGTCTGCATTTCCAACAAGTTTCCAGGCGACATGGAGGCTGCTGGTTTGGAGGCTGCGCTTTGAGAATCACTGCTCCAGTGGAAATTTCCGATTTGGAGGAACAGTTGCCACCTGATGCCCCTGGGCTCGCTTTTCCTGAGAAAGACTATCCCTTTCCCCTTTGCGTGTGATTCCGTCCCCACTTTTACCTGCTGGCCAGCTGGGCATACAAGATTCTCTCAGGCTCTGAGGAATTCCGAGCCCTCCCTCAGCTCTTTCCCTCCACACCAAAATCCATCCCCACCTCACAGCTCTTTGGACCCAAGCAATTTGCAGCTGTCTCCACCTGCCCTTTTCCACAGAACGGCCCTCCTCACCAGCCAGCGGAAACCTTCCTGAGAGCCTCCAAAACCCCATCTTCCGGTCCGTTGCTCCTCAGGCTCAGTCTCTGATGTGGTCCGCTGTAGAGGATCTGTAGTCCTTGGTCAAAAGTGAATGAGGAGAAACGGACAACATCAAGAAATGACATTCTAACCCTGGCCAGGTGGCTCAGTTGGTTGGAGTATCGTCCCGCACACCAATACACCACGAGATTGTAGGTTCAATCCCCAGTCACGGCACATACCTAGGTTGAGTGTTGGATTCCCAGTTAGGCAGGGCGAGTATGGGAGGAACCAATCAATGTTTCCCTGTTTCTCTCTCTCTCCCCTTTTCTCTCTCTCTCTCTCTAAAATCAATAGCCAAACCCTTGGGTAAGGATTTTATTTTTAAAAATCAAAATAAATGTTAGAAAAGAAAGAAACATTCTAGCCAAAGAAAGAAAGTATCTAAATTTTTATCTTCTTTCTTTCATCACTTTTCACCCATTTGTTCTTCCCTTTAGCTTTCTCTTAAGACCTCTTCAAATCTATGGTGACACAGGCAGAGAAGATGCTCTATGGGGCCCTGTGTGAACGAGAAAAACGGGGGCCAGACAAGGACTCGGGCCCTTGGGCACAAGGAAAGCAAGCCGGATTTCAGCCCCTGCCGTGCCCTTCGCCGGCCACATCTGTGTGGTGCACAGTGGCTGTTGACTAAGAGCTGACCGCTCTTCCTGCTTCCCCTTCCTGTCTGCCGGCTCTTCAGTGAGTGGGGGCCGGGGCGCACCTAAACATAAACAAGCACACGCACAGGCATGTGGTTGAGGAGGGCTAGTAAAACCAGATTTCTCCTTGCTGTGCACCAGCTTTGCTGAGGCTGATAAATGTCTTTCTGCAGCCCTTCATCTCCTTTCATTTCCTATTCTCCCCAAAACACTCAAGGCCATGTGTGTCCCCCACTCACTGCCCACGCCAGCCCAGCTGTGCCATCCCTGCCGCCTGCCTCGTTACCAGGCGCAGCTTTCGCCCTGGAGTTCAGCTGGCGGCAGAGCTGCTGATGTGCAAAGCAGAATGGAATCCAGCTTGGCTCTTCCTCGCTGTGTGGGCTCGGCAAGGCTCACAGAATACATACTTGTTTGTGTCTGGAAATTCAACAGCTGCAGCTCAGGGACCCAGAAAACAGAGCTGCAGAGAGAGACCACATCATTATTTCCCACAGCCAACCACGACCACCCTTTTGCCCAGAGAAGAAAAGGCTGCCTTTCCTTTGCTGAGAATTCGCATTTCCCAGTTAGTGCTCCTAAAGGAGCCCGCTCCTGGTGCCTCGGAATGGAAGTCCCTATGGCCCTGACTCAGCAGGTTATTTGCTCATTCATCTGTATCCTCCGAGTACCTGCCAGAAATATTTCAAAGGTGGTACATGAGTATCAAAGTTCTTTTCCAAAGTTTTCATAGGTAAATAAGTGAATCCTTGCTTGGGGTTTATTCTCTGCCCTTATTCCCCTGTAGCTGACCAGAGGGTCTTGCGAATTTACAAAACAATGCAACACGACTGGCCCCCAATGCACCTCAGCAAACCACCCCTCCCAGGAGCATTTGCCAGGGGCGATGGGTCACCTTCCCACCAGCTCTGCATCTTGATTTCTGATGGTGTCCGCTAGATTCTGGGCTCCTCGTGTTGGGCTTTCTAACCAAGCGGGCCCTTTTCATGGGGGCTGGCCCTCCTCCCCAGCACCCCAACATGCAGTGCTGCTTCTTTCTACTGAACCCTCTTCTTTTTTTCCAAGCCTCTCCCTCCTAGGGGGGGAAAAAGATAACAAGAGCAATAGGAAAGTTCTTAAGAGTATGTTGGCATTTGCTTGGGCCTGATATTTTCAACTTGTGGTCCAGGGACAATAAAGAGAGAGGCTTTGTCACTACTGCGTTCCTGAGCCTGTAAAGCGGCAGGGCAGGCCGCTGCTCGCTGCCAGGGTTTCCCCTGCCGCGCAGACCCCCAGCCCAAGTCTCCCCCGATGGCAGGGAGGGAGGCTCGTGAGCCCAGAGCCATCTCTACTCCACGTGCTTGGCCTCACATCCCAGTCCCTGCCGGAAGCAGCGGTGTCCCCTTTGCTGTTTGGAAACCAGGAATTGTTTGTCCATAGAGTGAACAGAAATCTGGAATCTACTCAAGAAAATCAGATGTAATATTATCCCCGAGTCTCCAGATTTCTGCTGCCACTGCCTGATTACTTCCTTTTGCCTCTATGGCGAGTTAAAGCTAAATTACTGAACACACGGCCAAAATGAAGCATGAGACGGGGTGGGCATGGTGAAGACAACAAAGGCAGCGTTTTAGGGAAGTGTGAGTGCCTGTCTCTGACCCCTGTCCTCCTCCAGCCCTGCTCTGCTCTGTGCTGAGTGGGAGGGGACCCCTAAGTGAGGAGAAGCATGCTGCCATGAGCACTCCCGCCTGTAGTTCCGCCATCAGTTAGGCACAGGCCACCCGAGGCCTTGAGCAGGCACTGCCCATGGGGGCTGGGATGGAAGGCAGAGGAAGGGAGCACCCCTGCCCGTGAGGAACATGAACAGGGACTCGCTCGCTTTGGGTGGCCCTTGGCTGAAGGATTGTACGTCTTTATGAGAAAGCTCTCTTCTAGCGTGGCACGTTTCCCCGTGGTTCCCGGCTGAGCTGGCAGCTTCGAGAAAGCTGCACGTGGAACGCAAAAGAGAAAGAGGTCGCCAGCGTAACCTGGTGTTTTGCTGGTTCGGTCAGCGCAATCACTCGAGTGACATGTTGTGGCCATGTCGATCTTCCAGTTGGAAAAACTCTAAAGAGAACTCTGAAGAGCACACTGAGGGGAACGAAGACGGGGAATGCGGAGGGAGCAGAGCAGTTGGGCTACGACCTCCCTGCTCGCTGACTCCCCGCCGCGGGCACCACGTCAGCCCTTCCCAGGCTCCTGCCCACTTTCTAGGCTAAAACTTCCCAACGACCTGGCAGGACTCATCAAAACGGGTGTTCCCCTTCCCAGCTTGCCTCGTTCTTCTTCAGATGTGCAGCTTCTCTGGTACTCCGTTCGGGGGGTAGTTGGCCTTCCTTGCTTAAAATTGAGTGGCAGCCAACCCACACCCCTTTCCTAAAATACTGCCTAGCAGAGGGGCTCCTCACAGACACAGCGCAAGGGCTGGGGTGGCAAAGATGGGGCCCTGCACAGTAACGCGCCACAGGGAGAAAGACATAGAGGAGGCTTCTAAGACACCTGTCTCTTTGAGAACATACTTCCCCTCAGACCTTGGGCTGGGCTCAGCGATGAGAGGCAGGAAAGTTCTGGCTAGTCGCCTATCTCTGCAAGCTGGCCAGCCCACCCCTGGAAGATGCGCAACTGGCCCAGGAAGGGAGAGAGTGAAGAAGCCTTTTTCAGACCTCACCGTTCCTCATTCCAAATACCGTGTAAATCCCAGGCACACTGAAGAATTTGTCTTCAGCCAAACACAACTTCCTGTTTCTAAGAAAGGGGAAAAAAAATAGTTGAAAGGGTTTTTGGACACTAGAGATTTTGAGTTTCTATAAACGCAAATGAATCAGACACATGTGGAATGAATTTCTCCGGAAGTAAAAAAGATGCTGGGAGTGCGTCTTGCTGGACCAGAAAGCGGGAAAAGGGCAGTGGAGGTGGGAGGTGCACCAGACACCGAAAGGAGCGAGAGAAGCCGTGCGAATGCGGGATCAAAGACAGGGTC